CGCAAGGAAAACGGAAAGAAAGGGGGAAAACAAGAAAGTTTGAAACAAAATTCGTGCAGAGAGTTTTCAATAGAGATATTTTCAGTAAGTTATCAGCAAGGCCAAGGGTTATATTTTAAAAAGATCGACACAAGCAAAACATTTTTAAAAAATATTCGTACAAGTTAAAAATGTCCGCCCGCCCCCATTAACAAGGGCGAATAATGTTCTCGACCAATCAGAGCATTTGCTTACCTTTTGGCGCTAAGCCAATCAGAACGCGTACATTTTTACTACTTCTGGTTTAGACGCGTTATTTCTGTCTACAACGCTTCAGTTCAATCATATTTTGATTATTGTTGTGAGGTGTGGGATCCGATTGGCAGTGTTTTATCTGATAAATTGCAGACTCTTCAAAATCGGGCAGGAAGAATAATTATGGGTTACCCAAATGAGCACGGATGCTCAGAAGCTGCTTTGACTGCGCTCGGGTGGAAAACACTTAAGGAACGTCGATTTGAATCTAAAGCCATACTCATGTATAAGATTATTCATCGTTTTGCACCTACTGCGCTTACTGAAATATTTTCTAGTGCTTCAGTTGCCAGATCTCATGACTACAATTTACGTAATTCTGACATGAAGCTCTATCTTCCTTTTCCTAAAACGGAATATTTAAAAAAGAGTATAAGTTTCAATGGTGTTAAATTGTGGAACGATTTACCTATTGAAGTTAGAAACGCGGAAAGCCTAGGAATTTTTAACTCGCTTTTATGTGCAACTAGGCTGTCACGATCTACTAGTTTGTAAATATTTAACTTTGTATATACGTGTCTTGTTGTTTATTATGTGTTTTAAATATTTTCACCACGCCCCCCTTGGAAATCAATTTGTATTGAAGGGGTTAGCGTGTTTAAATAAAGTTTTACCTACCTACCTGCGTATGTCAACACGAAAATTAGGGTTGTAAATAAAGCCTTGGGGGCGCCTGGTTTCCGGGGCGCCGGACGGACGGACGGCTTATATTCTCGCTAAATGTCATTTTGGTCCAAAAAACTTCTTCACCCTTTTTTGAGTCATATCCGCGTTTTATCCAAAAGGATAAAACGCGGATATGGTGCAACTTTCATGCTTAATTTTCTCAGTCCTCTGGGTATGTAATAATCTAATTTTATGCAATGTAATGTGCAATTTTTCAAAGGCTTTTCAATGCAGTTATCGGTTTAAATATACCTAGAATTCCCGTTAAGATATATGACAATTGCCGTACGGCCTACTTTTACGCAAACGCGAATAGCTACAATTGTAACATTCGGCTTAATTTTCTCTGTTATCTGGGCATGTAGTAATCTAATGCAATGTTATGTGCTGTTATTTCAAGGGCTTTTTAATGCAGATATTGGTTTAAATATGCCTAAAATTCCCGTTAAGATAAGACAATTGCCCCCCCTTTCATGCTTAATTTTCTCTGTTATCTAGGTATGTAGTAATCTAATTTTATGCAATGTAATGTGCTGTTTTTTCCAAGGGCTTTTTAATGAGCGCAGTTATCGGTTTAAATATACCTAAAATTCCCGTTAAGATATGACAATTGCCGTACGGCTTAATTTTACATGAGATATTCGAGCATACGTGGTAGTGATTATTTATTACAAAAAAAAACAAAATAAAGGCTTTTTTACTTCCGGGAATCGATGCCGAGAACGTATAGTATAGCGTATCAACCCCGGGGTTGTAATCGCAAAAGATTTCAACCCGGTTAACAGGGCTGAGCTCAATCCCGGGGTTGAAAGTTCTCCATGTAATCAGCCCCTAAAAATCGTCGCAACTATGTGTATATTTTTGCAAATATCCTCTCAAGTCAAAAGCTTGGGTCAGCGAGGTAGTCATAAGTTTCGAAAAGAGATTGCCATTCATTGAAACGGCAATTCTTCTATTTTACTTTAGTGCTATATATACCACTGCGGGAAAAATTATAGTCGTGTAGTGACCGATTGCCAGAAAATTTAACTCCAAAATCACAGTGAAAATGCTTCTTTCTCAAATGCCCCAAGCCAGTCTTAAATATTTCCGGATATACGGCTTCGCTTCACTTCCTTTAGAATCATAACACGGCCGTTTTTTTAATGCGGATAATTTCAAAACTAAGCGATGAAACGCAAATCCCAGAGGCCAATTTTTATATTTTATAGTATTTCATTGAAATACTTAAAAATACACCCCCCAAGGCTTTATTTACGACCCTAATTTTCGTGTTGACATACGCGTCTAAACCGGAAGTAGTAAAAATGTACGCGTTCTGATTGGCTTAGCGCCAAAAGGTAAACAAATGGTCGAGAACATTATTCGCCCTTGTTGCCCCCATCACTTTTCTAATGGTCTCCCATTATAGAGCCTGTCACGCAGGCTAATGATACCATGGCCACAGGCACAGATTTTATTACGGTACAGTAAATTTATATGAGCAAATGTTGTGAAGGTTTGCAACTTATCTCCTTTTTTAACACAGAGAACTATAGATATCCTAATACATTGTATCTTTTTACTCGAATAGGACAAACTAATTGACGAGTTGAATCACACGTTGGTCGCCACGCAAGAAAGACTTGAACAAAAAGAATTCGTTCTCGATGAAAAAGAAATAGAAATTATGGAAAGAGACGAACTTGTTGAGCAACTTCGAGAGAAATTAGCAACTGCTGAACAGCTCTCAACCTTGCAAGAAAGTAAGAATGCCGAACTATTGGCGACATTTGAGCAAGAGACTGCTGCGGACATAGCAAATTGGCGCGCGAAATTAAAATGTACAGGTAGGTCAATACGTGAACAAAAATCTATATACAGGCCTGTCTATATATTGACACGCTATAAACCGAAACGTCTCGTCTAGCTGGACGAATATTTCCTTGCTTTCATATGCATTTTTTCATCACGATTGCAGAGATTGAAATTCAATAAAATGTCAATGCAGTTCTATAATATTTAGCGCTTGCAAACTTGTTACATTTAATTTTAAGTTCATGTATTCTGGCTAGAATCTGGCCATAAACTAATTAAAGCAGCGGTAATTGAGCGAGACACAACCAGACATTGGTTTTGTTTCGCTGCCTGTTACGAACGAGATATTTCTATCGCTTGTTTATGCCCGAGAATTTGGCCTGAATGAGCGTGACATCGCAAGACAAATTGTCTCGCTGAAATGAGACAATTGTCACTCTGCTTTTACAGCGAAACATGAACGATAACATAGCGAGGCAGAGCGAGACAAGCAACAGAAATTCCTTTGTGTGCCATGAAATTGTGAGATTATTTATATCATATCCGGCGGAAATTGAAAGAAACTGAGCACGACAAGGGCGTTACGTTAAAAATTTAATTTGTCGTGTCTCGGATGACAAGGCGCGCAATTTGAGTTGGTTTTATTTTGCTGTACACACGAATCGCTTTCAAGCAGCGAACCATACACGGTCGGTCGAACAAGTGAAAAGTTGCGGATTTTCAACAATGATCATCGCTATATATCGCGCTGCATTCTCGGTAATTCTTCAGCCAGGCGAAGTTGAAGTCAAATGATAGTCTCCCTCGCAAAGTTTCTGTGCGACTTTGAGATTCAAGGCATTGGCAATATATGCATTGGAGACAGTCTTCAAGTTTCTTCTAAATCTAAGTAATTAATCTCAACGTTTGTCTGCTCTGTACAGAGTTTTGCGCGTGATACCGCAACACATAATTTTTGTGTATCGTACTAGCGTATGCCAGCGTATGAAAAATATCACTCGTACGTCGATATGCGCTGACGTACGCTAGGGGTACGTTAGGCATAGGTTGTATACGTTACGCGATAAGCATACTCTAGGCACACGCGGAATACGCTAGAGGTACGCCAGATGTATGGTACTCATACGCTGGCATTTCTAAGGATTTTTGTGCGCATGAAAATTATTTCATTAATTTTCGAACGCTTCTCATACGTTTCTCTCATACGCAATAGTGTGACAGGGCCTTAAAAACTTTAGATAGAAAAACCTACAAAATATTCAAGGCCGAAATAAATCCGATTTTCATATTTGTCACAATGCAATGGCGAAATTAAGTCTGAAGCTGCGACCCGAATAGTGACTTAGGTCTAGCTTTCAACCCTGTTGTTGTTTTTTTAGCCGCCGCTTGGCGCTTGCGGACAAATCGACCGTTTACACGAGTCGCTCGCGACGGCCATCTCAAAGCCGCAGCTTATTTAATATTTTCGCTCATATAAATGCAACCTCGTTCCCAGGCTTTTAGCCTGGGAACGAGGTTGATACGAATGGCCCTAATGTCAATGTAGATATATACATTTTAATATGAACTGGCCTTCATAACTATATGTCTGTTAGTTAAACAAGTCGATAAGGCTTTTAGTAAGCAAAAGCCCGTTGCAATAGCGTGATGTTCTTTCAATCAAGTGGAGTTATCTTGAAGTATAAAAGTAATTTAATCGCTGTTGATGGAAAAACAAAATATGCATGAAAATACTTGAACAAAAGCTAACTTTACAAATGCATTAGACAGTGCTGCCACTCAATGGGTTAATATGGGGAGTTTTCTTCGCACATTTGAGTTGCATCCATCACGATTCAGCTCTCAGCTAGTCAGCTTGCAAGTAAAAAGGGGGGTAAACGCCCTCCACTCCTACTTTTACTTTTCTATTTACCAAAGCCTTATCGCTAATTACTGTTCTTTTTTATTGTTTTTTATAGAAGAAGAATTACATCAAGCTAAATGTGAATCTGAAAAAGCCATCGAGAAACTAACTCATGAAAGAAATGCTCTACAAGAGAAACTTCAGGATTATGAAAGTGTCGTTAGTAAGGAACAGTTGAGAGAGTTGTACAACACAATGGAAGAGAAGTCCCAGAGGATAGCTGACTTGGAGCAACATTTGAATGAAATGAATAAGAAAGATTCAAAGATTTGTGAGCTTCAAATGGAAATTGACATACTTCAAGGTATAAGATGTGTTTTGGCTGAAATGTAATTGGCTAGTCCCTTTAAGAATGGCAACTGGCAAGGGGAAAAATGCCAACATAACGGAAGAGCCGACTGCATGCATGGTCAATTCATTGCAATATCTAACATCCATACTTTATTGGCTTTAGAATCTGAAACTTGCATGTGGCTGGCTATTTGTTACATGCCAAACCAGTTTGGGAAGTAAACATGTACAATAAAATATCTAATTATAGCATGCCAATTGATGTACATTACTGGACCTGGCCATGCAATAATTAGCTGTTGTACATGCTTATTTCCATGTGGTGTTGTCATTACCACGCTTGCCTTTCGATGAAGCTGGGAGACCCAGGTTCAATCCTTGGTTGGAGCTTTGCTCATTAGGTGAAGAGGAGAAAGAGCTACCTTTACATTCACATGCATCGATCACCAGTAAATGGTTTAGACTTTCGCGTCTTCTTGGATAAGGATGTTTTTTGCGTATTCTTGGATAAGGATTGTAGGTACCTAGTGGATCCCCTATCAATTGGGCAAATTAGCTTGTTGGTAAATTCCCTCACACAATCTAACTGTATAGGGATTATATCTTTTGAAAAGCAATTAAGAGGGAATCTCCACTATCACCGAGCAACTGGTGGCACATGATGAAAAATGAAAAGTTTTCTTATTTTGTCCAGTGATACACTAATGTATACTTAGAAATGTGATGGGGTTTGTTTTCTGAAATATTATTTTAAACGCCAAAAAAATTATCAAAACCTGACATGTACCCAAGATTCGTGAAATTAGCTAAAAACATAGTGAGTCATAGCCTCTCGAAAACTTCGTTTTGCTCAGTTCGCGTCTTTAGGAAACCTCACTTTCGGTTTTTAAACGTGTATATAAGATGTTTATAAACAACGATAGTCTATTTTGCAATCTTTTAAATGATGTTTCAAAGTCAAGGCAAGCGTGTAAAAATCGCCTTATTTTGCGATCCAAAAAATTCTAAATTGTTACACTTTTTGAAAATTAATTTTCCGTATCCGGGAAAACTCCAATTTCCTTGAAATTTAGGGAATTTAAAGAGAAACTGTTGCTCTAAAAGCTGATGTAAAAATTATTTTGGGGCTTTTTGTTACCGCGGAATTATACTGACTATAATATCGGGAAAATCACAAGAAAAACCTTAAGTTAAAAAATTTTAAGTTTGGTACATTTTTTTAAAATCAATTTTCCCTTTCCGGTAAAACTCCGATTTCCTTCAAATTTAGACAAATGTATGAGCAAATGTTGCTCTCAAATCTGGTGTAAAAAATATTATGGGGTGTTTTGTTATCACGAAATTATAATGTCTATAATATACAGCCGATTATGTAGACAGACACTTATAGACAGGCAGTACGTCTAGACACAGTCTGCTCAGATAGACTGTCGAAACGTGAGTATTTATACTTGTTTTCTCTTGTTATTTGGTTTTGACAGATAAATTATAAATTATTCTAAATTATTTTGCTTGTTTATCGGTATTTTAGAGAAATAAATAGTCAATATGAACAT